AAACTATAGGAGCATATCTTTACTTTTTAGCTCTGTAGCTTGTTCAACTTTCTAACACGTAATAACCATCCAGTCCTTTGGACAATCACTTTTACATAAGCATCTAGAGATCAATAGAAAGCCGTCCTTGATCCTCAGATTACACTAATTTTTTAAGTTTTGAAGACATATTTTTTTGTTTAAAGTAAGATAAAGGAGAACGTTTAAATACTTAAAATTAAAACTTTTTTGAGGATGGAGAAATTATACTATAAAAGTAAATTTTTACTGAAAGATAGAATCTGAAATATTTAGTGTATAAAAGGTGTTGATGTCAGGTTGATTTTTAATTGTGATAATCTCCTCGTTCCCCCAAATAAAGGATTGTGTTCCATATAGTTTTAAGGAGTTAGGTTTTAGATCATGCATCGCAAACCCAAAGGCCATGCCTCTCTGACATTTTGAGTCTACCAGCTACTGCTTGAGAGAAAGATGCACATTCTCTTCCCTTATGATTGTTATTGTTGTAGTTCAGTGCTACTGAGTTGAATACATCTCGTAGTTACTTTAAGAACGATGGGATCTGGATCATGCCATCATCTCTGCCAAACTTGAACTCATTGTTACAGGCACTGAGTGAGTTCATTTTATTGATGGTATTCCCCTCCTTTGCTGACCCTCCCTTTTTTCCAAGCATGATGTCCTTGTCCAACATCCACCAAAATATATGAGACAGAATGTGAGGGTAATTGGCTGTCACATGTCACCCCACTGATCACCTGGATTGATTCGGCTGATCTGGCTGGCTAGATGGGTGTCCCCTTCCTCCCTCAACAATCCATGTGCATCCATGCCGAAGCTGCATACTTGGTTGAAGAGGATGACCATCCCCAATAGAAGGAAAGCCCATCCTTTGGTCAATGGTATACGAGTAGCTGCACTCCCCTGCTAGAACCTCCAAACAAGCTCTTAAAGTTTGTGGGGAAAAAAAAAAGTTTCACATTTCTTTCCTCCAACGACCACCTGGTTGCACTTTCTCCAAGATATATCTATTTCTTCTTTTGATAGTCTATGAGATAGTTAGTACTCCTTCAGTACCACAACTCAAAGGCACTTCCTTAGTCACTGTCCAGCTTTCAGGTACCTAACAAGTAATTAAAAATACCATGGCTTTGATCAGGCACACTTTAGTCTTTAAACTGAATGAAGCATTACCCTTTAGAACTTTGTAGAGAGGTTCTGGACAGCAGTTTTTCACATAGCAACACATCTTTTGATTTCTTGACTGCTGGTAAGGGTGTTGATTGTGAATCCAAGTAAAATTATATCATTGACAATTACAGTCCTTTCTCATTTTGTCATAGTGCCGAGTGCTATTAGTCCAGTAGCGAAGATTTTGTTTTCTTGATGAGCTGTAAACCATTTGAAGGTTGTAGTCCTAGATCTTCTGCAGCAAGTGCTTCAAGTCTTCTCTTTTAGTGAGCAAGTTTCATTTGCATGATGTAGTCATCCTCCAATACTGATGCACATCCTTCTTTATAAAGTTAAACTTCCCAAATGATTTTTTTTCAACATACAGACTGAATAAGTATGGAGAAAGGATATATTCCTGGGGCACACCTTTTTTTAATTTTTAAACCAGGCCCTGTTGCCTTCCTCTATTCAGACAACAGCTTCTTAGAAGCAAGTAAGTGAAAAGACTGTGGATTGCATCAGGCATACCATAGACTTTACATTGACATACATCGATCTTTAGAACTTTGGAGAGGTCCTTGTCAGCATATTTTCCCGAAGCAACATGTCTTCTTTTACTTCACACACACACATACACACACACACACACACACACACACACACACACAGAACCTGTAGAAAACACACATATATACATACGGAAACCACTAATTTCTTTAACGTAGTTTAATATAAATACTTATTTAATAGAAGTGTTTAGTCTAACCCCTTTCAGTTAACACACTTGCCATTTTTCTACTCTCTTTAGTTGTTTAATACTTTTAATATGAGCCACATGTAAATTATCTTGGAAATGCTCAGTTTAAGTCTGAGACTTGCAGCTTGAATTGTCAGCTCAGTAACATGTTTCTTTTAGACATGATGCAGTATTGTCGAGAGCTGGTTAAGAAGAAGTTGAAAAGGGGACATAGCGTGAAATACATGACCTCTCATAGCACTCCTTTTGGACAGAGTGTAGCTGCCTTGCAAAACGCCAAGGAAATGACACAAATAATGCCACATACATAGTCTCCCTGTGTGTTGTTAGATAACATCAGCTTGACTGCAACTCACAGAGACCCTGTGAACAACAAATGGAAACCTGTGCCACCCTCAAGCCCATATTTGTAATCACTGAGTCATTCTGTCTCAAGAGGGCTTACTTTCTCATGCTGACCCTCTACTTTTTCGAGTATAATGTCTTTTTCTAAGGGCTGGTGCCCTCTGACAAAATGCCCAAAGCATGTGAGATGAAGTTTCACCATTCTTGCCTCTGTAGCACTTCCTCAAAAACAATTTTGTTTGTTCTTTTGGGATAGTCAATACTCTGTCAACACCATAATTCAAAGGCATCCATTCTTTTTTGATCTTCCTTATTTATTGTCCAACTTTCAGTTGCATAAGAAGCAATGGGAAAAAAAACCCATGGTTTAAATTGTTATTTTTATGTGCTGTTGATTCACCTGAGACTCCTAGTGACCGTTTGTACAACAGCTCTGAAGCCTGCCCTGTCCTGCGCCAGTCTCACTGGCACTGACACGCCTACCTCCATTGCCCTAGTTACTGTATCCATGTCATCTGGGGTCTTCTCTCCTGCCCTGTCCCTCTGCCCATCTGAGCATGATGTCCTTCTCCAAGGATCAATCCCTCTCAAAGGATTAGTCCCTCCTGGCCACATGCCCAAAGTATGTGAGACAGAGCTTCAAAATCCTAGCCTTCAAGGAGAAACTTGGTTTTATCCTCTCCAAGACAGACCTATTTGTTTTCTTCGTGGTACATGGTATGTTCAAGAGTCTTCTAGAGAACCACAACTCAAAGGCATCAATTCTTCCTCTGCCATCCTTCATCATTGTCCAGCTCTCTGATGCATAGCCTGGTCTCTAGACTGACGTCATTGCTTCTCAGTACTCTGGAAAGGTCCCTGACAGCTGATTTACCTAATGTAATTTGTCTTTTGATTTCCTGACTGCTGGTGCCAAGAGTGTTGATTGTGGGGACAAGCAAGCTGTAACTGTTAACAACCTCAGTCTCTACTCCATCCATCATAGTGCTGCCAATTGGTCCAGTGGTGAGAATATTTGTCTTCTTGATGGCTTAAATTAGGCATCCCTTAGTCATTAAATTGACTTCCTTTTTCTTTAGTACTTAAAAGAGGTCCTTGACTACGGATTTCCCAAAAACAACATGTCTCTTGATTTCATGATTGCTGCTGTCGTGTTGATTGTGGATACAAGTAAAATGAAATCATCAACAACTTTCATCTCTTCTCCACCTATCATAATGTTGCCAGTTGGTCCAGTGGTGAGGAGTTTTGTTTTTTTGATGTTGAGATGTAATCTATAAGGAAGGCTTTGATCTCCAGTTAAGTGTTTCATATCTTCACTTTCTGCAAGCAAGGCTGTGTTGTCTGCATAACTCACGTTGTTGGTTGAGTCTTCCTCCAGTTCTTATGTCATATTTTCCTTCATATAGTCCAATTCCTTGAATGATTTGCTCAACATACAGATTAAATAAGTATGGAGAAAGGATACAACTCTGATTGAGACATATCCTAATATATACCGTGCAGTGTTCGTTTGTTATATTTAAATGACTGCTTCTTGGTCTAGGTATGAGTTTTGCATGAGCACAATAAAGTGTTCTGAGATTCCCATTCTTCTCAATATTATCTTTAATGTATTATTCAGTCAGATGTCTTTGCATAATCAACAAAACACATATATTTATAATACAAAATAACCTTTTAAAGTTTACTTTTCAAAGTCCTTTGTCAAACTCTGACATTTCTAGAACACATTATTTAATTGAAAATGTGCCTACATGTTTATAAGTTTGTAGAAACCACTCCTGGCAGCAGTAAATGATGACCACCACACTCTGACCCATATATCTTAACTCGTGTGGTCACGGATAGAGAAGCAGACATGCTGCCTGTAGAGTTGTGCTGTCTTAGATGTCTCTGATCAGGGCCCCTGTTTAGAGTTCATGCCGTTTGGTTTACTCTCATCCATCATTCTTTTAATTTTTAACTTAGTTTTAGGACTTATTGACAGGATTAATTTGCCCATTTTCTGCCTATCTAGAGCCTTAGTTGGTTCCTTGAATTATGTAAAGACAGGACATAAGCTTTGGAAACTTCATTCTGAAATTTTTCATCACAAATGTTAAAGATAGATTCAAGATAAGCTTAAAAATACTGACTTCATTGTCTTTAAATAGAATTTCACTTCAACTGAGAATATAATCTTCATTATAAATATAAATACTGCTTTTCCGCTAGCAATTTTAATTCTCAACAGTGACACAGTACTTTGAAACATTTAAGAACTCCCTTAAGTATTGTAAGAAGGTAAACTACTTTAAAAAAGAAAAGAAAAAAAATTTAAATATTCTTTTTGTCACAGTCATAGTGCTTTTTGAAGATAAAAATCAAAGTGGAAAGTATTCTCTTTCAGCTCTCTTATGTATAAAATTTTGAATACTTACTTAAGGCAGGAAATTGTTTTCTACAATAAATAAGTACTCTAAGGTTTTCTTTCCCCTTGTTTTATTTTGAATCTTATTTAGTATTATTTATGGCCTGTGTAATTTTTTGTTTGCATTTTCATTCTTGTATTTGTCTCATGATTCCATCTGAATATTACAGTTCATTTCTTAAACTAAAAACAGCAATATATGTTTTCTATATTAAAGCATAAAATACCAAAACAGTCCAGTGGAAGTTTATATTAATTATGACTGAGATTTCTAAAATATATTATTGCTAATATTGCTTTTCTTTTTAACAGCCTCAAGTACTACAGTCTTCCCGCAGCCTCCCCAGACCCACAGACCACGCCCAGGGAAAATTAATAAAGCCACAGCATGCTGACACCCTCAGTGACTGGGCTCCGCAGGGCATGCTGAGAGTGGACAGAAGGCTCACCCAGGGCTTGCAGCAAGAAAGCAAGTATTGTCCAGATGGCCTGCCTATTTCTTCAAGCCCTCAGTTTACTGAGGATGTATCTAGTAGTACACATTCAGAAGCAGACCTAAGCATAACCGTGAATACTCCAGAGCCTTATCATTTGGCAGATAACAACATGAGTAACATGCAGTTTGTACCCAACTCTCTTCAAACACTTCCTCAATCAAGTTCAACTGACCAGGCTGTGGGAGCTCTAAGAAGGCAGTCTTCACCTGCGGGCTATATATCACAGTCCAAAGCTTTGCAGCTTCAAAAGCCATCCATCTTGAATTCTCCTCCAGTGACGAATCCAGTCCCTCAGTCATCTCCAAGTAAGACTGTCACTTGTAAAAAGTCCCTGGTAATCACACCACGTAATTCATCAAAACTTCAATCAGCCTCTAGTCAGACAAGTCTTACTAATGATTCTAATCTGAAAGTGTCTAAACTCCAACCCCCTTCCAGCACTTTCATACAGAAAATCAGCAACACCCGACTAGAATCTCAAAATCTTCAGGCCAAGACTAGCATCCCACGACCTCTAACACGAAGGAAGGAAAGTGTGCAGATGCCGAATGGCAGTTTTCATGCTGGGGATTGTTTGGCTGCTAATTAATATTCTTATCTTTCTAAACCAAAGATACATTAAATCCATAGCCATCACCTGCCAGTTAGTGTTTGTAAAGCAAGTTTATTTGTAATATCTTTATGTGCATTTTACTACCAAGGTAGAGGTTCCATTAAAGCTTGCAAACATTAAATATATTAAAGCATAGAATCTTCTACTAGTTTGGCTCTTCCATTTTATATCTCAATGGAAGCACATATCATTTCAATAGACTTGTCTCAGGTAAATGTCGATGTTAGCTTCTCATTCTCAGCAGCCTCCCACAGGCTTTAAATCATGTTATCTCTTCTGAATATCATATGATACATACACTCCACTTAGCAGGCAAGCTATGTGCATGACTAATTTAGTCCTTACAAGGTTTATATTCTGGAGGCCTGGTGGTACAGTAGTTAAAAGGGGTGGTGTGATGGAGTCTACTTCCATGAGGATTTAGGCCATTCTCTTCTGTTCTGGAGGCTTGTTGTGAGTCGCTGGACAGCAGTGATTGGTTTTTTTGTTTCTCCTGTAAGACCTGTATTAATTGTTATCAAAACTTGTTCTTTTCCACTTACCCTCCCTGTGAATAAGGCTGCTATTCTGTCTAAAATATTGGTGATAATTGAAGGTTGTATTTCTAAGAATGTTGTGTATAATTGAAAGGCCTGTGAACAAGCACTGTGCAGAATAAAAGAAATTGAGCTTTTAGTGGGAATTCTCCTTTATCATTGTTTTTGGTTTTATTTTCAGCAAGTAACCATTGTTGATCAACAGTGTTTGATTCATTTACTTAGGAAAAACCCCTAGGTAAAAAATATCTTAGTATCTCGTATATGAAGAAGTTACATGCTACTTTAACACCTCTGCCCCCTGCATTGTGTACATCATTTGTGTTTGTTTTTGTATTGGACAAGTTTTGTTTTGTTTTTTTTTAAAATAGTTAATACTAGAGTTTAGCTTTCAATTCGGTCTTGATCCCTGTAGGCTTATGGATCCATGATATAAGTTAATTCTTTATTGTATTACTTGTATTAGCTTATTGCTAACACATAAGGGATGAGAATATAGACTTGAAATATTTGCACAAAACTTTGATAGATTCATGGGGATTTAAAACTATTTTGTGTGGCAAAAATGTTTTATGAAAACATTTTAAGTGAGGCTATCCTGAAAAAAGCTGGACTTGGTAAGTTGTTTTTTCTCAACTTTGCAGATTATGTGTTTTTTGTTGGTGGGGTGGTGGTTTTTGTTTGGTTTGGTTTTTTTATGTTGGTGTGTATTTCAGTAGCAATTTTTGAAAATAGCCAGGCTTCTGGAAGAAAGATACTTGAGGAAAAGAAGCTGTGATTTAGTAAAAGGTGTTAAAAAGTGTTTCAAAGGCAAGATGCGTATTTCTTTTAGTGGGCTCCAGATGTTAACTGTAGGGTCTTTAGGGATCATGTGCATGATGCAAATCATTCTACAGACCATTTTGTCAGGACAAGCCATGCTGGCCAGCTGCCCACCTCAGCCCCAAAATATGTTGTCATTAACATTGTTCACTTGTAGCTGTTGTAATTGGAATTGGTGTCTTTCAGAAAAGTAACCTTTCCAAGGTTAAGTTTTGTTTTTATCAGATGAATGAAAGTGCATCAAGAGGAATGATGGCAAAAAAGTTTATCGCTCAGTTTTCTGAAGATTCTATTAAAAAGAGTATAGTTGTTAAGATTGTGTACTCCTTTCTTTGTTAGAGGAAATATCCCCAGGAAATACTTATGTGAAATTTTTTTTAAAGTTTATTCTTTTTTTTAATATGTTGTTGTTGTTGTTATGTGCCGTCGAGTCGCCTGCGACTCATAGCGACCCTATGTACAACAGCCCTAAACTCTGCTCTGTCCTGTGCCAATC